TTGCTATAATTACTTTCTATTTTACAGCAGATTTGTTTTCATCTGTTCCTGTAACTGCTTATCTTATTGTATCGTGACATTCTTATCTATATTGTCATTATCTATATTGACATTCTTATCTATATCTTATCTATATATTCTTGTGCTGCTTTTTCAGTCATGTTCCCCCTTTTTTTATCTTTATTTGTATTTGTTTTCAACACTTTTTATTCTTTATGCTCAATTAGTATTAAGTTCTAGATATTAATGTTTTTCTTGCCCGAAACGCATTGCGTAATAGTGGCTTTAGGCATTGTATGTACTAGCTCTATCTATATATCAATCCATTAATGTAACATCACTTGTATGTATGTACCTTACCTGAATAAACATATTTATATATATATTTTATATATTGATATATATTATCTATCTATTGTTACTTACAGTGTACCTGAGAGTACTTGTAAGCAATCTACCTCATTTTTCATTTTTGCTCAATTTGTTTTTGTATTGCTTAGTCTTGTTTATATTTTTGTTTTGTATATCTATATCTTGTGTTTTGTATAGTCCATGTTTATATGTTTTTTCTTTAATCTCATTTATTACCTAGGTTGCCTATAGCCTAGCCATACTCCCTTACTCCATTGTACCCCTGTAAGCCCCTTTGTGTTTGTTTTGCACAGTATTGTGTACATTTTTTTTCCCTATTTTATAGCTTATTTCTACCTTGTAATTTGCCTTTCTTTCCTTGTTTTTCCTGCAATCAGCTTTTTTTATGCAGTCAAGTATAGACCCAGAACTTAACCTCTTATCCACTATCTATGACAATAATCACTTTAATGATCTAAATTGCAGATATTTTGCAGCACATGATGTAAACAATGTAGTAACTCATAATCACAATATCTCTGTAATCAATTTGAACGTTAGATCCCTAGGTAAACACTTCGATGATGTTAGTGCCTTGATTGAAGCTATTGACAACAAATTCTCTTTTATTATACTTACTGAAACATGGTTGAAAGAGGATACTACTCAACTCTTTAACATGCCTAACTACTCAGCAATTCACAACTGTCGTCAACTTCAGAGGTGGTGGCACTGCTCTTTACTACCACCAAGAACTAACATGCTTAAAAGAAATTAAAACTAGAGACTGCTATGGGGAGTATATCTTCGCCAGCTTCAGAGTCAAGGGTGCCGAGTCTGTCCTGTCTGTGGGTTATAGAATTCCTAACACTGATGTGTCCGAATTCAACTCAAACCTTAGAAATCTAATACTTGATAACAGACTGAACAAAAACCACCTAATTATCGCAGGGGACTTTAATATTGACCTCTGCGAGCCAGAACACCCTACTGCTGTTAGCTTCCTCAACTGTATGAATTCCTGCTTCCTCATACCCTTAATCACTAGACCTACTAGAATCACTGATAGCACTGCCACGACTCTAGATCACATCTGGACAAACATACTTACTCTCCGCTTACTTCAGGTATAATCACTGATAATCTGTATAATCACTCATTAACATCAGTGAAATTAGCGGGCGTTAGGTACAGAGACTATGGATAGTTACCTGTAAGATAGTCCTGAACATCAGTACTGGAAGATGGAATATCATTTGCAAGGGAAGACCCAATGGAAGAGAAGAACCTGTTGAACTCAATAACAGTATCAGAGGCTGTAAGCTGACCATCGTTATTGGACAGGAGTATTGATTTGTTATTTAAAATCTTCTTTGATCCCAATATTTGTGAAATTGTTCTCCATGTTTTCTCAATGTTGCCCTTTGTTTGGGTAAATTTATCTTCGTAGCATTTAATTTTGGCTCTTTTAATTATTTTAGATAGCAATGATGTGTAATTCTTTGAAAATTCTTTGGAGACGATTCCTAACTAATACTTCTTCTCAGGGTCATGTTTTTTATTAATACAAATACAAATACAAATATTTATTCAGGTAAAGTACATACATACAAGGTGAAATACAAAAGTTGATGGATTCATAGATAGGGCAAGTACACACAATGTCTAAAGTCACTATTACGCAAAGCGTTTCGGGCAGGAAAAACACTACAACTAAAACTTAATACTAACTTAGATTAAAGTATAAATTGTGTTGAGAAAAAATAAAAAAAAATGAAAAGGGGGGGGGGGGGGAAACATGGCAGAAAAAAAAGCAAAAATACAATTTGGTCAACAAACAGTAGTTTAAAATCGTAGACATGGGTTGACATTTAAGGGTGAGGTAGGTTACATTGAGTTAATTAGGTGGTACTTAGTTTTTATCTTAAACTGGTTGGGAGAGGTACAGTCTTTAACATAATTGGGAAGGTCATTCCACATTCGAGGTCCCTTGATTTGTAAAGCATTTCTAGTTTGACTAAGTCGTACTCTTGGAATATCAAATAGGTATTTGTTTCTGGTGTGGTGCTCATGGGATCTGTTACAACCTAGCTTCTAGGGAGCTTTTAAGGTCAGGATTGACATTACAGTTCAGCGTTTTATATATATATATTATATATATAATGTTTTATATATATAATGCTAAACTATAATGCCAATCCTGATCTCAAAAGCTTCATAGAAGGATGTAACAGAACCCATGAGCACCACACCAGAAATAAATACAGTTTTGATATTCCTAGAGTACGACTTAATCAAACTAGAAATGCTCTACAAATCAAGGGACCCAGATTGTGGAATGACCTTCCCAACCATGTTAAAGACTGTACCTCTCTCAACCAGTTTAAGTTAAAAACTAAGCACTACCTAATAAATTCCCTGTAACCTACCTTACCCTTCTATTGTCAACCAATGTCTGTTTTTTTTTAAAGAGCGCTGTTTGTCGACATAATTGTATTTGTGCTGCTTTTTCATCTATGTTTTCATTTCTTGTTTTCATTCTACTCATTATGCTCAATTAGTATTAAGCTTGTCATTTAAGTTTATCATGCCCGAAACGCTTTGCGTAATAGTGGCTTTAGGCATTGTATGTACTAGCTCTACCTATAAGTCAACCAATCTTTGTAAAAATTTATTGTATGTATGTACCTTACCTAAATAAACATTTATATATATATATATATATATATATATATATATATATATATATATATATATATATATATATATATATATATATATATATATATATATATATAAAATACACATGAGAGAATGTGCAGGGACTTAATATCTAACATATTCAAAGATTTGAGTAAGGGTACCGAGTGATGTCTGGGGCCAGAGTGAGATATTGTCCTAATAGAAGCTTTGTGTTGAGTAATTAGAGGACGTAAATGATTTTGGGTTCTTGATTTGATTTCGGGGCTTTTTAGTGTCCCCGCGGCCCGGTCCTCGACCAGTCCTCCACCCCCCAGGAAGCAGCCCGTGATAGCTGACTAACACCCAGGTACCTATTTTACTGCTAGGTAACAGGGGCATAGGGTGAAAAAAACGCTGCCCATTATTTCTCGCCGGCGCCCGGGATCGAACCCGGGACCACAGGATGACAAGTCCAGTGTGCTGTCCACTCGGCTCCTGGCTATTTGGGGTTACCTTGAGGTTACCTTGAGGTGCTTCCGGGGCTTAGCGTCCCCGCGGCCCGGTCGTCGACCAGGCCTCCTGGTTGCTGGACTGATCAACCAGGCTGTTGGACGCGGCTGCTTGCAGCCTGACGTATGAGTCACAGCCTGGTTGATCAGGTATCCTTTGGAGATGCTTATCCAGTTCTCTCTTGAACACTGTGAGGGGTCGGCCAGTTATGCCCCTTATGTGTAGTGGAAGCGTGTTGAACAGTCTCGGGTAGTAGAACCCCAAGCACAAATATCATAGTTGAGATAAGGATAGATGAGAGAATAATAGTGTCACCAGGGCAGGGCGAGGTTCATAATATCTGATCTTAGAAAGAATGCCAACAGTTTTTGAAACTTTTTTTTATATATTTAGAAGGTCCCTGAAAATTCAACTTGCGGTCAATGAGAACGCCAAGGAATGTGCCATCTACTTTGTTACAAATTTGGGTATTGTTAATCCTGAGATTTATTTGATTTGAGGATTTATTGCCAAACAAAACATAGAAAGTTTTGTCAATATTGAGGGTGAGTTTGTTGGCAGTTAGCCAGTGATGGACTTTATTTAGCTTAGTATTTAAGTATTTACTGTGGCATTTAGAGCAAAGGGGTCAGGACTGGAGTAAATGAAGGTCGTGTTGTCAGCAAATAGAATGGGTTTGAGATGTTGGGAGGCATTTAGAAGGTCATTAATGTAGATGAGAAAGAGGAGAGGGCCAAGTATGCTGTCCTGGGGAACACCAATGTTGATGTTTAGGGTGGGAGAAATTGAATTATTCACAGAAACATACTAGAGCCTGTCAGTAAGGTAAGACTTAATGTATTGCAGGGAGTGACCTCTGACTCCATAATGTTGTAATTTAAGAAGAAGGTTTTGGTGGTTAAGTGTCAAAAGCCTTACGCAGGTCTATAAATAACCCAACAGGGAACTCATTTTTATCAAGAGCTGCATGTATCAAGTTAATCATACTAATAAGTGCATCGTTAGTGCTTTTTTGGGGTCTGAAGCCATATTGACAAGAGCTCAGTATATTGAGTTTGAGTATTGAGATTGAGTATATCCCTGAAGTAAGCGGAGAGGTTATGGTGGTCCAGATGTGATCAATATGTAAACATATTTTGTCAGTTTTACTGTAATTTATCAGCCTAAAATTACCTGTACCTGTACCTGTAAAGTAAAGCTGTAAAGTACCTATAAACATTTGTTGTCAGTTCTACAGTAAATTATCTACTTAGAATTATCTGTTAGTTTAAGGACTTGCCCGAAACGCTATGCGTGCTAGTGGCTTTACAAGATTGCGAAATCAACATCATTCCTATGTTCTCTCTTAACCCCCAATGTACGTTCTTGATAATAAATAAATAAATAATTAATAAAATAAATAAATATAGTCTCCCCCTAGAAAGTTCCCGTTCTCTTCGATGAGTGCATCGGGTTAAACGGGAAGACGACCATCGCTACGCATCTTCCAATACACTAACCGCTCTCTCGGGCGCATCCGATCCCACAATCGTCGTCAATCAACAACATAACCGCTCACAACAGCTCTCTCTGGATCTCCAGTGAGCCCCTCCAGTGGCTTTGATCGTCGCCCCTAAATCAACACAACAACAGTGGCTTTGATCGTCGCCCCTAAATCAACACAACAACAGTGGCTTTGATCGTCGCCCCTAAATCAACACAACAACAGTGGCTTTGACCGCCGGAGGTGACATTCGCCTTTGGTTATCGTGCTATGTCTGCCGTACTGCTGCGCTGCTTCAGAGTCTGGCACGGAGCTCCTACGACCCGTGTGGTGTCCCTTCAACACCAACACAACGAAGTTTGACCATATACAGGTAACCATATTTACTGAAGGCTTTTGATGCTACAGCTAATAATAAGTATATAAGTGATATAAGTAGAAACACATCTGTACTATTGCTTATACTGAGTTATTTTAGTTCATTTATTATGCAGCCCATACCCATCATGGTCGAGCCGAGCCGGTCGGCCAAGCAGACAGCACGCTGGACTTGTGATCCTGTGGTCCCGGGTTCGATCCCGGGCGCTGACGAGAAATAATGGGCAGAGTTTCTTTCACCCTATGCCCCTGTTATCTAGCAGTAAAATAGGTACCTGGGTGTTAGCTGTCACGGGCTGCTTCCTGGGGGTGGAGGCCTGGTCGAGGACCGTGCCGCGGGGACACTAAAAGCCATCTAAAAGCGAAATCATCTCAAGATAACCTCAAGAATCTCAAGATAGCATGTATTATGGCTATGCCGGCACTTATAATTTTATTTATTTATTTATATACAAGAAGGTACATTTGGGGTTAAGAGAGTACATAACAATGATGATTTTACATTCTTGCAAAGCCACTAGCACACACAGCGTTTTGGGCAAGTCCTTAATCTAACAGGTAATTTTAAGTAGATAATTTCCAGCAAAATTGACAGATAATATTTACAGGTACATTGTAAGACATTTTGAAAAAATACACAAAGATTAGATTAATACAAAATAATGACAATACACTGTAATGACAAAGAATACTAGGTACATTAGGGTAAAGTTTAAAGGTTATCAATTGGTTCATTGTAGCACAATTTAAGGATCATTTCAAGTAATAATGCAGTTGACTATGCACTCAATATAACAATCATGATATCAGATGATATCAATAATTACAAAGGTAAAGTTATATGGCTTAGGTGCATATATTGGGAGATTGAGTAGCACTAGATATGTTGCAAGTTCATAGCACTAGGTAGGAAACTATGAAGGTGAAATTAGGTATTTTTTGCTTTTTGTTTTTAATAAGGCAAAAGGCAAATAAGGCAATATAATAAAAAAATCGGGAGGGAAATAAACACAGAAAAATATTCACTATCACTTCAAGACGATCTAATTAGGGTTTTGAAATGGTCAAAAGATTGGCAGATGCATGTTTGCTGTGAAGAAGGTAGGATAGTGATCAGTTATTCTGGCAGTGATTATATTTGAACCCCCGTTGGAATCAGACCCAACTATGGGATGGGTCAACCCAAGTATCACGTTTCCAAAAGGGTCACCCATGTTGGAATAGACAAATGCCGAAGAATATTGTTGAAAACATCTGAATAACTTATTAAACCAAAATTATTTATAAGTCAGAAGAAAGACAGAGATGGGATCTATATGTAAAACCTCTACCAGACAAATATTTTAAGTAAAACCGAAGAGATTTGTAGCTGTATAAAAGTGGCAGTTTTCACACTCGTCAAGCTCGAAACCCGCAGTATTCATCTCAGAACAATGCTTATTTTATGCAGATTCATTAATAAATGTAAGAGTTTTATATGTTGCAAGAAAGTTAGAAATATAAGCTTCATTCTAAATACCTTACCATGGGCATATTTAAATTTAAAGCGAAGATACGTGTACTTTTATAATAGCCAAGCTCCGACCCCGGACAGATCGATCGACAGAGCAACACTCTCTCTCAGAACAATGTTTATTTCACGTAAATTTGTAAATAATCGTAAATTTTTTATATGCCTCAAAAAAGGCAGGAATATAAGGCTCATTTTAAACACTTTATCATAGCCATAATTAAAGTTCTAATGAAGATTCATGTGTTTTAATAATCGCTGAACTCCGACCCCTGCATAGACTGATCGACAACAAATCTCAACAAATTCAACAAATCTCTAGTGTTATATTTTCCCGTATATCCTTAAAAAAGCAAGAGTAATGCTAGTTCATAAAGGAGGCGAGACAGCTGACATAAACACCTACAGACCCATATCAAATCTACCAATACTCTTTAAAAGTATTTGAAAAACTATATTTAAACTGCTCTATTCCTACCTTGTAAAGCTCAACATAATTAGTCCGTTAGTTTGGCTTCTATTCCCAAAAGAGTACCAATGATACCATTACTGTATTAATCTACTTGATATAATCTACACAGCCCTTGTCAAAAATGAGTTCCCAGTTGGCCTCTTCTTTGATCTGAGAAAGGCCTTTGATACTGTAAACCATAACTACCTCTTAGACTTCACCACTATGAAATCCGAGGCCTTTGTTGGAACTATATTTTATCCTGTCGTAGTGACACACAAATTTGTAGCCATCAATGACATAACCTCCCCCACTCTATCATTAACTGTAGGAGTGCCACAGGGCAGCATCTTAGGACCTCTCCTATTTCTGATATACATCAATGATTTGTATAATGTTTCTAGCATTCTTAAACATATACTATTTGCTGCTGATACTACCTTCATCTATTCAGACCCTAACCCCCACACACACACTAAATAATACTGTAAATAATGAATTTAAAAAGTTCACTCTTGGATGTCAGCCAACAAACTCACACTAAACATAGAAAAGACCTACTACATTTTATTTGGAAGTAAATCATCAAATCAAATTCAACTTCAGATCGACAATGTTAACATTTAAAATGATGGAAAGTTCCTTGGCCTATACATAGACTAGAGATTGAACTTCAGCATCCACATACAACACAGCCAGAAAAGTCTAAAAAAATGGTTGGTATACTCTTTAAAATGATTGGCCCCCCCCCCCACACTCTGCTATCCTCTCTTTATACTATGCACTAATCTATCCCTATATTATATACAGTATCTGTGCATGGGGTTCAATCACTGCAAATTACCTCAAGCCCATCATCACTCAGCAAAAATCTGCTATCAGAACTATAACAAACTATGTCTTTAGACAATACACATCCCCTCTGTTATAAGTCCCTCAACATGCTAAACAAACACTCCACACTTTCTCTTGTGCTATCTACATGTACAGAACCTTGTTTTTAAATTCTAATTGTGCTTTTCCTCGTATAGGGGGTACCTCGGTTTAAGAGCTTAATCCGTGCCTGGAGACAGCTTGTAACCCGAAACTCGTAAACCGAAGCTAATTTCCCCATAAGAAATAATCGGAAGTGAATTAATCTGTTCCTGACTACCCAAAAACTTCACTTCAAACTAAACTTTATACCTAATTCATTTAAAGGCTCAAAGTCTAGTTCTGGCACACACATTCAGGCCAAAATTTTCTCCAGCCAGAGATCAGGATTCTTTGAGTCACTTCTTGCCAGGCTTTGTCAATGAGTTTTAAAGCACTACAAATGTTAAAATGGTCCTTCCAGAACTCTTTGAGGGTGAGCTTTGTGGGTTCAGTCATTTTAAAACATTTCTGAAAAGTGCCCTTTCATAAAATTTCTTAAAATTCGCTATGATTTTCTGGTCCATAGCCTGAATTAGAGGAGTGGTGTTAGGAGGAAGGAACTTTACTGTGAGAAAATTACTGTATCTGTGCAACAATTCATCTTCCAAGCCTGGAGGATGAGCAGCAGCATTGTCGAGGAGAAGCAGGGCCTTGAGTGGCAAACTTTTCTCCTGCAGATATTTTTGTATAGCAGGGCACACCACATCATTCACCCACTCCGAAAAAAAAATCCTAGTCATCCATGCCTTATTAGCCGTCCACATCACACACATTTGGTTTTTCTGCACACCATACTTTTTGAAAACTCTTGGATTTTCAGAATGATACACAAGCAAGGGTTTAATTTTCAAATCTGCACTCGTTCCAGGGGTTTTCTTTACAAGGTCTTTGTGCAATATCCTGGTTTTCTCACAAATGATGGCCTCTGAAACCAACCTGTTCTCGCACTTGTTTATAGTCAATATTTGGCTTATTATTAAGTGCATATGTGACATACTAATTTATTGTGAATATTTGAGTTTACCTTGAAAAGCTGAATAGAAAACACCAACCTAACCTAACCTTAGTATGTTAAGATAAGCAACTTATTGCTTCTTAATTACAATAAATACTTATACCTATACTGATATTACAGTTTTATATAAATAATAAAACAAAATTAAAATGTTTAAATAAATTTTAAAGTAACTCAGGATATTGTCAAATTTTGTATAAAATCTCTATTGTTTAATAAAACTGAAAAAGAAATTCCTAATATTAAAACTGGTGTATAGCCAATCCATAGAAAGAGTTTATACCTTGAAAACAAAATATAACTTGGAATATACCACATATGTACTTATTAATAAGCCAAATATTGACAATAAGCATTGTCATATATGTACTGTCTTGTGTGAGAGCAGGTTGCTGAAACACTATCACCCGCTAACTCCTTGTTGTGTATCCAAATTAATAACAACTTTTCCACATCCTCAAGTATTTGTGGTCTTTGTTTCATGATTGTTGATATGCCTTTTTCCACTTTAGCACTCATAATGTCCTTTTTCTTGGCAAGTATAGTGCATATCGTTGACGTGGATTTGTTGTACTGCCTAGCTAGTTCAACAACACGAGTACCATTTTCATGCTTCCGAATGATCTCTTGTTTTTCCTCTATTGTCATCCTCACATGTGATTTCTTGCCTTGAACCTTACTACTGGCTTTCTAGGGACCCATGGCGAGATATATAATAACAATTTTTATGCTCAAATGGCCAAAAATCTGACAAAAAACAGTGAATTCTTGTGAAGAATTTAGGCGGGAGAGTCACTAGGCACGAGGCACTTGTAAACTGAGGCGCGATCGCCATGCCACCACACGCTAGGTCGGCCCGTACACGTATCAACACGCTCGTAACCCGATGCAAATTTTCCGACCAAATCGAGCTCGTAACCTGAAAAGCTCATAAACCGGGATGCTCGTAACCCAGGGTTCCACTGTAGATGTAATAGAACCCATAAGCATCTGGGTTTTATTACTCAATCTGTGCAAACACTCCATACAAATAAAAGGCCCCAGTCTATGGAACTCACTCCCTGATGAATTAAACAAATTGTCCAACCTATGCCTTATTCAAAA